GGGCGGGGCGGCGGGGGGGCTGCCCCGCGCGGCTTCGGGCGCCCGGCTTGTAGGGCTCCTCGGGTCATTCAAAAATCGGTTAACTTTAAGTGGAGAGTCGGACTTTCCGTGTGTCCCCGAGCCCTGCCGCAGCTGCCCTGCAAGCGCGGGGGGGTGGTGGGGCTGTCAGAAAGCAGCCAGGCCCCGGGCTCGGCCATCCTTCCCCGTCCTGGAGCTGTGTGACAGACAGCTGGACGGAGGTTAATCGACACTTTGCATTTAACCCCCCCAGTGGAATTAACTGGTTTATTGCATCTAGTCCCAGAGCTCCTCAGCAGCTCTTCGTGTGCTCTGCAGAGAAAACTCTCTGCTCTGCAGGGTCTCAAGCCTGGCACAGACAAAGACGTGGCAGCCGCCTCTCGGTAGCAGGCAGGGAATGAGGAGAGGAAGCTGTGCTGAAAAAATAATTGTTCGTTTCCTGTTAATGGTGTATTGAAAGCCAGAGGCTGTGTTGGCAGGTGGGCCGCTGCAGTTCACTGCTTCTGGCTTTCTCCGGAAATGCTCATATTTAAATTCTTCACTGTAGCAGGCAGGGAATGAGGAGAGGAAGCTGTGCTGAAAAAATAATTGTTCGTTTCCTGTTAATGGTGTATTGAAAGCCAGAGGCTGTGTTGGCAGGTGGGCCGCTGCAGTTCACTGCTTCTGGCTTTCTCCGGAAATGCTCATATTTAAATTCTTCACTAAATCTCGAAAACTTTGCAATGCAGGGTTCGCTGCTTGCAGTTGTTAAATTAGAGTGCTTTCCTAGCATTTCATCCTTAAAAAACCAGTTTTTTAAATAAGCAAGATTTGTCTCTTATAGGCCTTTCAGAAATATTGGGGGTCAGGGCGTGTCTGCCTGACTTGCTTTTTCTCAGGCTGTTCTACTGTAATCCTAATCTTTAGTAGTTAATTTGTGGATTAAGACTAGAAACATTAATTGGTCTGATTTTTGTGTATGAATTGTGTACACATTAAGTTTGCTGCTCATTGTTATGTTAATGATTAAAATTATGTATTCTATTGTGTGCTTTGTTTACTTAATGTTTGTGTGACTACATATATTGGAATATTTTAGTCAGCTATATTTGAGCTATTTTTTTAAACTAATGGGAACATTTGTGTGCTTTTCTAAAGAAATGAATGCATGTTTTTGTTGTTTTAACTGCCTTGCAATGTCTGAAAATTGCTTTCAGTTGAGTCGAACTATAGCCAAGACAAACTTGTTCTGGCCAAGTTGCATCTGAGATTTCACAGTTGAAATCTGTGTGCCCTACATATGCTGGAGTCAAACTGGGTGAGGTGGCTCAACTTGGCTAAATTTGATACTGCTTACTGTTGATGTTCTTTGAGCCCAAGCCAGCATGCAGCCCCCAGTCTCTGTGGGGTCTGACCATGCCAGAGGGTTTTACCAGCTTCCTGGCTGGGCATAAGTGCTTTGTGTAGATGCTTCTTTTTCCATGAACAACTCGGATGCTTTATTTTATGACCTACAGTGGGTAAAAAGACAGCATTGTTTATCTCCCAGACTTCACTGAGAGGTGTCACTCAAGATAGACTGTGCAAAACTGATTTGTTTTCTGTGTTGCTCAGTGGAGCGTGTAATTACTGCAGTAAGATTTGACATCTCATGAGAGTGTTTGGGTAAGCTTGTACCTCTCTGGCTATGAGAGGTATGTTCTAGACTTGGGCAATTTTTCCTGTGATGCTTGTCTTTTTTTGGCTTGCACTCTTGAGGCTGCTTTCCTCCTGAGGGAGGGGTTGCTTGGCCAGGTCTTTTTAGCATCCAAGTTCATACTGTGAAGCACAGGGTGGAAGCTGGAGTTAGTTAAGGCTACCCCATCCTTCCACATTTCATATGAAAGTCCTCTTGAACTGAGAATTTGCATTAGTGAAGTTCTCTGGATGGTTACCACTGTTATGTTTTCACTTAATAGAAACAGCAACAGCAGCAAGGGTGATGCATTAAAGCTGTGTAGTTTGCATTAGCACAGTCAGCTCTCAGCCCTGGTCTTCGCAGCGTGTTGTGGATACCAATCTGATGTACCTGGCATCTCTGTGATGTACTGATTTTCGTGTGGGTCTGTTTTTAGGAGAATGTGTTTATTGGTCAATCCAAACTCTACAGCTACCTGAATTCTAACAAAGCTCCTGGTGCTCGCCCCCCGCTTCAAGAAGAAAACTCTGTCATGTATCACGAGGTGAAATGTCAGGGCAAAACACTAAACAAAACCTACAGGAAAGGAAATGGTAAGATTGATCTTTGGATTGTTTGCCTCATTAAACATGCTTCCCCCACCCCCAATTTGAAAACTTTGTTACGGATTCAGGAAGGCCAGGCAGTTCCCTGGGTCTGTTGCTTTCCCAGACCTACAGGTCTGTATCAGCAAACTGGGACTCTGCACTGATGAAGGTGTCTTTATCCTTTTCAAAACTTGGGTCACAGGTTTACCAGGCAACTTCTTCTGGCTTTTTTGTCTGGCTAGGTTTGTATTGTCTTTCTGGATATAAAAAGCTAATGCTTGTGTTGTCAATATGCTGTAATCTCCCTGCAATTCTACTACCACTGTATTTCTTCAGCTCAGCATTTGGCAGTTTATCTAATTTTTGGTGTCTGTTTTATCACCTAAAACTGGTTCATTCTATAATTTGACTACTTTATACTAATGTGTATAAAGGCAATTCAAAGTCAAATCAGGTATGATGTGGAGCTCCTGGTAGCAGAAGAAACAGTTCTTAGATTTTGAGGATGAAATAAAGGCAGTGAGAAGGAGGAGCACAGATGATGGGTGATGAGTGGCAGGCTTTGTAGGTGCTTCATTTTAGTGACTAGAAATTTGAACGCTCTGTCACTTCATGGAGGGAGGGAAAGCTGGTTTGTGTTTAAAGATGCATTTAATAACCTTGGTAGTTTGTCAAAACATTTTGATGAAAACACTTTCAGCAAGCAGGTGTTTTAAGTGCCACTCAACACAGGGAGCATCAGTTTTCTGGAGACTTAGAGCCTTTAGCTCCTAATTTAGTGCTCCAATTTTGACTAGAAAGTGAAGATGGCTTTAGCTTGTCCCACTGCTGTGGCCTTGCAGCTGTGCTTCATTTCTCCAGTGAGACTGAAGCATCTGTCTCAGCAGATGTGACTGTTAAACCTAGTGATTTACTTTAAATAAAAACTTTATTCAGCTTTAAGCCATGCTCACCTACCTCTGAATCAGTTTGCTGAGAAGGGGGATTTAAATGTTCATTATTAGGCAGGATACACGCAACCAAGAAAATGTTGGTTCTTGTAGGGTTCTTGTGAGCACCAGCCCTTTAGCTCCTGTGGATTTTGTCCAAGTGGGGCTGGCCACTTGGTGCCAGTGGCTGCAGCTGCTGATCCTGCAGTGCAGGATCCAGAGAGGCTCCTCTCCCTCATTGACTCAGGATATTGATTAGCTCATGGTAACCTGACGCTTTAGTATGTAACTTTACAGTTGTCTCAAACACTGCAGTGAGGGTGCTACATGTTCAGTTTTGGAAAACTGGGTTGCAAACCTAACATGAAAAAGTACGTGTTTACCCTTTCCTTTCTCTGCTCACCCCTCCCTCTGTACCATGTGTACTGGAGCAAAGACCAGTCAAAAGTTGAGTAACAGCCTATCTGTATTCTAGCAGAAAGACATGGTATCATTCCCTTCCTCTTTCTCCAGTTTGACAGAACTAGAAACTTGGACTAGAACCATTGAAATTCACTTAAAACAGTCTGGTATAGATGATCCTAAGTTCAGAGCCTTACTTTATTTTCCTGTCACCAGAAAAAAAGAATGGTGGCAATATAATTGAAGGTGCTATGAAACCAGAAGACCAGAAAGACAAAGAAGGTGGGTGCAATACTTCAGCGCCTGCCTCTGATCAAAACCAAGAAACTGTAGAAACTCAGAAGACTACCCTGCCTTCAGACTGTGCTGATGAGGCCAATGCAAAACCAGCTCAGAAAAAGGTGGTTAAAGCAAAACGTGGACCACGGAGAAAGTAAGTGACTTCTGGAATTGTAAAAATTTTTCTTCAGTGTGTTCTCCTACACCAGGAGGCTTTGACCTGTATTTTTCCTTCAGGAATTGCAGCCAGACCTGTAATTAATATTACTCTTTTTTGATTGCCTTTGTTTTAAGCAAATGGTTATGTTGGGAGGAACAAATCTTAAAGGAGACTTATTTGTTTTTTCAAGAGTAACACGCTTGAAAATACAAAATGGCACTCAACTGATCTGCCTGGCAGAGGACTTCTGTTTTTCTTGAAAGCAAGCCTAGTGTATTTTGTCTCAAGTGAAGTACTTGCTGATCACCTATGGAAAAATAAATTAATGAGCTATTAAGACCTACTTTTCTGTGGACGAATGGGAATGTGTCTTGTCAGAAAGAGAATATTAGCTTAATTACAGTTGGAGGCTTCCTGGTGGAGCTGATGCTCTTTTTCTCATTACACTGGATTAAGGTGACCTAACATTAATGAATTCCTTGCCAAGCAGTTTTCATAACCTAAATTTTAGCATGCCTTCTGGCAAGGCACACAGGGGGCTTCAGACCTGTACTGTGACCTTCACTTGGTTTCCAGTGGCATCTCCTTCTTGTTGTTCAAGAATTAGAACTACAGTCTTGGAAATAGTGTGGGAAGAAAAGGGAATCTAGCTTTTGGCTTGAAGGGTACTGATAAGAGAGTGATTCATGCTGATCACCTTTCAATACATCAATTTGAAAAGAAAAATTTCTTAGATATCTCTGTGCTAGAGGTGTAACTTGACAGTCTGAAATATGTGTGTGGTCTGTTTTTCTTATTCCTTAGAACGCAAGGAAGAACACCCAATCGAAAAGTGACTGATTATTACCCAGTTAGAAGAAGTTCCAGGAAGAGCAAATCTGAATTGGAGGTAGGGCTTCCTGTGAAAATGGCCTCACTTACAACGTCGCCAGTTAATTGAACATTTCAGGAAGTGTGCAACTGTCTGTAAATGGTTTCCATTGGTCAAATGCCAATAGCATTGAGCTCTGGAAGTATTGTTGGAGACATTCTTAACATTTGGAAATACTGATCCAGTTTTTCTAGGACAGAATCTACCTGCTTACCTATTTTGGGCACAGAAATCTGTCTCTCTACCATTTAGTTTTGCTAGAAATATGGGATGGTTTGGAAAAATGAGTGTCACTGGCTAGTCATGTCCTTTTAGCTAAAGAATAAGCTACAAAAACTATCAACAATACCGTGGTTTTATTTATTATTCTTTCCTCTGCAGACTGAGGAGAGGAGGAAAATAGATGAGCTAATTACAAGTGGGAAAGAAGAAGGAATGAAGGTAACTGCAATGCCAACCTGAGTAGCCATGTGCTGTTTGTACAGTATCTTGCTGCTCATCTGTTCAAGCAGGAAGTAGCAGAACTCAGTCTCAGAACTGCTGCAGTTCTTCAATAGTAAGATGAAAGTGTAGAGAAACTGGAGCACACTGTGTTTGCTTTTGGATGGGCAGTATTTGGCTCTGAAGAATAAGTGTGCTGTGCAGTCCTTACTGAAAATGCACTTGCTCCCTTTAGTATCTCATTGGATTAGCTTCCAGAAATGGGGTCAGATAGAACATCTTAATTGTTGTATGTTCTAAAGATAACACCCACATATACTGGCTGTATGGTAACAAATTCTCTTAGCCTGTTTACATCCTGTCATTTTGGGTCTTTGTTATGGCACTTGGAATAATGGGTTGTACTGGTTTGCCTCCCAGTACTAGTACTTGCTGGTTATTTAGACCACATGCTTGCCATATGGGTTACTCTGATCACCCTTTTTAGAATTTAAAGCAGAAATGGCTCCTGGCAGGGCAGAAGAGCTGTGATTCTTCAAAAGCAGCAGCCTGCAGTAAACACTGTCACATCTACAACAGTGACAGTAGAACAACAGAGGAGTTCTCTTATTCCTGCTTCCCCCTATAAATAATAAGTTGTACTTGTGGGTGATAAATGTAATTTCTATGATGAATCCTCTAACTTTTTAACCTGCCTGTGCTAATGGTGATAGTGCACTTGAAATGGAAAAGCTTACTGCCTCAACTAATAGGTAATTTAACGGAAAAAAATAGGTAACTTCTCTGTGTAAGGTTTATTTAAAGTAATTCTTAGTTCTTTGATTAGAAGACCTTGTATCAAAATGCCTACTAACTCGGGGTGTGTCCCAAATTCATCTTACATTTCTTCCACAGCACCATGTGCTGTGCTTCTGCAGTTTTGTCCGCAATACACTCAGATACCCTGCTGCCACATTTTTCATGACAAATAATTCATTTCCTAGGAAACAGCATATCTGCAGTTGGTAAATACTTTCTAATTTCCCAGCTGCTTTTCTTTCCAACTCCACAGATCGATTACATCGATGGCAAAGGGAGAGGTGTAATCGCTACCAAACAGTTTAATCGAGGAGAATTTGTAGTTGAATATCATGGGGATCTCATAGAGATCACTGATGCTAAAAAGCGAGAAGCTGTGTATGCTCAAGATCCATCCACAGGCTGCTATATGTACTATTTTCAGTACCTCAGCAAAACTTACTGGTAAGCTTTTCTTCTTCATTTATCCCTCTGTTGGCTGTTTCATTTGCCTCAGACTCCAGTTGTCCCAAAGCAACGACTCAGACTACATTCTTTCTACCTTGGCTGATGTATCTAGAGTGTGGGTCACTTAACCTTGAAGCACCTTATATTCTAAGTGTCTGATGTGCAGTCTAGACACTATAATGCCAGTTGCCAGAACAGTTCTTTGTGGAGTGAGGGGCACTAGAGCTTTAGTATCCAGGTTTTTGGAAGCTGAGCATATGTAGTATTTAGGCATTCTCAGCCTTCCATGTGAGTAGGGACTCTTGCTGCCTCACTCAGTGGATACTATTTAACTTGGACACAGCTTTCTTGAGGGGAGGGTATTTAAGGAATCAACCCTTTCTGCTGGTGGTCTACATCTGGATTCTGCTATTCCTGATGAACTGTTGAGAGCTGCTTGGAAACTGGCAGCTCAAAAACATAGTCCAAATGTTTCAATTTTCTGGGTGTTAACTTAATCTCCCAGAATTGCTTCAGTTTACCTACATTGCCATATGATGTGCTGGCTATTTAATCATATTCATATTATGTAATATTCTATTTTTCCTTTGTATTTCAAGCCTTGTGTGGATTCCTCATTCTTTATCTGATTTGCACTTTGGTTTTGGGCAACAAATGTGACTGCATGATCTGCAGCAACCCTGCATTTTGTTTCTGTTCTTTCAGTGTTGATGCTACAAAAGAAACTAATCGTCTGGGAAGACTGATTAATCACAGCAAATGTGGCAATTGTCAAACAAAGCTTCATGACATCGATGGAGTGCCTCATCTCATCCTGATAGCTTCCAGAGACATTAAAGCAGGTGAAGAACTGTTGTATGACTATGGAGACAGAAGCAAAGCTTCCATTGAAGCTCATCCCTGGCTGAAACACTAATTCATCTTCTTTGGGGTTGTTTTGGTTTTGTTTTTTGGGGTTTTCTTTGGACTGAGTGCTCTACAAGGAGCCAGTGGATTATTGTTTCTTGTCCTCACTTCCCTCAGCTTTCTTAGTGGACTGCTTATGGTGTTCTGAGCTCCTTAAAAACAACAACCTTTTTGCTTTGCAGTATTTAAATACCTATTACAGTTTTTCAGGCAGGCTTGAATAATTGATCTTGGATTGCCAAAACTTACATCATGAAAGGGAACCTTCCCTAAAATTTGAATGCTTCTACACAGTGACCAGTGCCACTTGAGCATCCAGTCTAAGACTTGCACAGAAACTTAATCACTGGGGCTGTGCTTCTGCTTTTGCAATGAAATCAGTTGCTCCACTTTGGGGTGGTGAACTTGGCATTAGCTTTATGACAGCAGATGTGTTCTCTACTCTGACTTGTACATCTGATGGCTTGATTGCTTGTCAGACTGCTTCTTACAGTGCTGATGGGCTTCTCTGAGATGGATGTTACTATTGTTCTCAAATCATCTAGGGTAGGGATCCAGCTCTTCCAGTGTCATATCTCATGTTGGCAATGAACTTTATGTGCACTGGTGCTGAGGGAAATGGATGGTCAAATTGGCTGCTTTCTTCAGAGAAATGACTCCAAGCCAAATGAGGATGGATTTCGATAGACTGGGTTGATACTGATTAGAAATGTGAAGACAGAACTTCACAATGAGAATCAATGTTTGACATTACTTATTTTCTAAAATTTGAGATGGTACCTTTTTATAGTTGATGAATGGTCCTTGGAGGTATCTCCCAGAGGATTTTAAGGAAGATAAAGCTCTCTCCAAAAAACCTTTTTATTACCTTCCTATGCTAAATAGCCACATAAGAAGCTATTTATTTACTGTGAATGCTTGAAGTAGAGCATAGTGGTTCCAAAAATAGGAGTCCTCTTCATATGCAGCTTCAAACTGTAGTGATGGAGTTCATGCAGTGAAGAAAGTAGATTCCTTATTGCCTGGTCCTGTAGGTCTGTCCAGCATGGTCTGGTCCCACTGTCTTAAATGGGAGTTGAGTGCTTAGCATCTTGTAGATGTTTGTAATGTTACTATTGGAGAACCACACCAGTGATATAGGCAGGCAATACAATGCAGGTCCTTTATGTTAAAGATGAATTCTTACCAGTTGGAATTTTTGCCAAGGCAGGCTTGGCATGTGTGTAGATGAAAATGGCTGTGAGCCATCAGCCACACTTGCTGCTGGAAGATGTCAGCAAGGGATCCATGGCTCTGTTAATGTCTCCTGTTCCTTGTGTCTTGAAGGCTGCTGCTGTTCCAGCTAATGCCCTCTAGGACAATCTTACGTGCTTGCCTATGTGATAGGTCAGGTAGCAACAACATCCTGGTTGTATGCTCCAGCAGCAAGAGAGGTGGCTTAGTGATGTATTTTTTAAATTAAAAACTTGAAGACAATGTCTCTGTAAAATAAAGAATATATTTATTATTGATGAAGTGGCTGCTATAGTACCTGTCTCCATTGCAGATTGTTAGCATTTTGAAGGAAAGCTGTGAAAATCCTTAGCTGTAAATGCTTTATATTTACCAATTAACACAAGGCAAGCTCATCAGAGACAGCCTGTGTATATTCACCATTTCTGAAGAATTAACTGGAGTCCTGTTACCTTACAGGTACTGAGTTACAGGTAAGCTTTCTTGGCTGACTTATTTGAGTTGGCACTGAATTATTTTTCGTCTCAGTAGCAGAGACTACAGCAGTGTACAGTATCTGCTTTTACTAGAGCACTTCCCTTAAGTCACAATTGGAATAAAATGCTTCTTTTTGTGTTTTTTGTTTGTTTGTTTTTTTAATTTAAACATTTGCTTGGTCTCTGTCAGGTTAAATAGCTTAAAACCTCTGTTCTTAGCATCACTTTTGTAAAAAAGGAAGGGGGAATATCTCTTCCTACTTAACAAGAAAATTGTCTTCTCTGAAATGCTTCACTAGTAATCAAGTAGCACTGCATTGGAAGATGGTAATAAAGCTGATGTTGCACTGACTATGTATCCTTTACTTTTCTAGGAACTGTTACATAAAATATATCTATATCTCAAAAAACTTATCACAGCAACATGCCATTTGGATTTTTATCCCTGTGCCTTACAGGAAGATTTCATTTTTCTAATGTGTAAAGCACTTGGCAGGGAAAGATGCCCTTGGTGTGGGAGCTGAACTGCTTTAGTCAGGCTCATGGGGCTTTCCAGAGGTGGTGAGTTGCTCCAACAGGACTGTCACCTGTTCTGGCCATAGCCAAGGAATTGGTGCCTCTTTTGAGACAGAAGCTGTGCAGCTCACTTGGCACCAGAGTCTGATAAAGACTTAGAGTGATTTGTGTGTTTTGGGGTATCATTCTCCTTCTCCCTCGTTTTTAAAGGAGATTGAAAAATATATCTCTGGATAAACCACAGAAGAGGATGGAGTTCACAGCACATCTGAACATCTCACTTCAGCTGGGCAGTCTGTCCTGGCTGTTGCTGATGCATGATTGTTGTTTTTTCCTTTCCTTTTTTTCCCCCCTCTCAACACAAAGCCTCTGCTAAGGAAATGCAGTGACTTCCTTCCCTGCTACCATGCTCTACAACATACATTGTGGGGACATGCCCAAGGCTTAATATTTTGAAAGTGACAAAATGCCCTTAGCAGTTCTGTGCCCTGCCTAAACCAGCCTGCCTAGGCCAGATGTCTTTGATGTTGCCTTGCTAACAAATTCTCTCTGAAAGGAGGCTGCAGTTCTGCCTGCTGCTAAGCCACATTCACTCTGCATCTCAGCAGATGTGTGAAGTGTGCTATATTTTTCATGTTGCTAGGGTATGAGAGGAAGTCAAAAGATTTCAGAGCCTGCTTTCACTTCTGAAGAGAGTAAAATCATAGTTTGACAGCTGCCACTGCTCCTTTTATGTCTGTTCAGCTTCTTTCTCTCTGGAAATCCTATTTCTTTAAATATGGAACCTAATTGGTATCTTTCAGGCTTCTTTTTGTACTCCTCTGTTTGCCCTATATGCTTCCACTAGTCATAACTCTCATTACTTGGGCTAATACTCAGCTAGTGACAGTTGACTGAAAGAACAGAGCTTACAAAAAATACAACTGTCTACCACAGGAGACCTTTAGCTGTCAGAAATGAAATGTTTGGTGCATCTGTTCCAGTTTTAACATGTCTGCATCTCTGAAAAGACATCAGTCCTTCACGTGGGCCAAGCAAGATGCAGCAGCTCTTCTCCCCCTGTTGTGCTTTTCTCCAATCTTTTATCTCAACCCCAAACAGCCACTCCTGTGTGTGCAGGGCAGGGCTTCTTTTGTCACAGCCCAACTGCATCTTCCTTTGGTGGGGTGTAACAGGCTCCTGCTGCCTGTGTATCGCCCATCTAGTGCAAAGAAAGACACAATAAACAGCAACACTGGGCTTTTCTTCAAGCAGTTCTGTGTTGGTGTAAGAGAATTACTTTCTGCATAAGGGCAGTGAGGACTGCAGTCTGAATGGGTTCTTCCTTCCCAGGTCTCCTCTCTATGAATGCACTTGAGAATGGCATGTAGCTCTTACAAATGTCTTCATCTGGGCTGAGAATTTTGATAGGTGGACAGGATAAACAAGTGGTGGTACAAATCATCACAGGCTCTTTCAATAAGAATAAAACCCATCTTTGTATAAACATTCTCTATGTGTGGGTAATGTCTGGTCAGACTCTGAGAAATACAAAAAGTATGTCTTCAAATTTCTAAAAAAACAAAGTAAAATCTATTCTGAAAGAATATATAAACACAATTCTCATGAGTTAAGAGTGGTGCTTTTTCTTCCAGTCGACTCCTCTTGTGCCTTGAGAGTTCTCATCAGTGCTTTTTCTGAACAAAAGTGGTTAAGTTCTCCAGGATGCTCACTTTCCATGTTTAAAAGAGAACCTAAAAAAAATAAAAAGACAACAAAAAGGAAACAATAACGTACAGCTGGAAAAGAAGGAATGTTCAGTGGGATGTCCCTGTCAATGTGTTCTGCTATTTTGGGGAATGTTAGAGACACAGTCTGAGCTTGTGGGTACTGCATACAGCTGCTTCATACAATGTAAACAAAGCTCCAGGGACAGCCAGCATGTTCCCACAGTAGAGACTTCATGTGCTACCAGGGGAGGCAAGTTCTGCTCCAAAATGCTTGTTTTTACTAGGAAAAAAGTGATGCCCTGCTTGCCTGGGTGGAGGCTGCCTTCCCATGGAGTGCTTTTTTTGCAGGGAAGAATTTCTCTATCATGCTTTAATTTTACAGAGAGAGAAGACAACAATATCCAGCCAACTAGGCCAAAGTTCAGAATTCATCCCTGGATTCACTACATCTGAAGAATGCTGTATTCTACCACATTCTGCCCCAAAACCTGATGCAGACAAACTTACAGCCGTTTGATGATTGTCTTCTCTTCGCTGTCCTTGCTGCTGCCACGGCTGCTGCTGCTGG